CTATGATTTCTTTCATTAATTTTTAGGTCAGCATTGTTAGAGCAAAAATTGACACATGACAGACATGGTGACAAAAGAGGGACTGGAAATTCATATGAAGAAAGTTGACAAAAAAGAAACAGGAATGATCTATGATGTGAAAAAGGAACAGGAAAAGCGATCTATTGATGTTAGCTTCAAAAATCAACAAAAATATCCATGACAATAGTTTAAGTGTTACTTTCTAAGAAGATTAGGGGCCTACCATATTTAATCCACCCGTAACACCATGATGGGATTTGTAATGTTAGTCCTTATTTTAAATTGAGGCCTGATCATTTTTCTTTTTAGTGCTTTTATATTGATAATCAAAACATACATTTTGTCCTCCTTTTGTTCCTTCTTTTCCTTTTCTTTTTCCTACTTTTCATTTTTTTCTTGTTTCCTTCTTTTGTCCTCTTTTTTCTTCCCCCACTACCACCCCAGATGTCATTTTTTCTACTTTCCTTAGTCACTCAATCTAGCATCACTCACATTAATCAGGCCACCTAAGACCAAAGTGGGCAGCAACAATTCCCCTGCCCTCTTCCCCCTCCCTCCTTTCCTCTCTTTCTCCTCCTTAAGCAAGTGCTGACAGCATTAGATCAGCACCAACCAATACTAGAGCAAGTCAGCTCTCGTTTTCCCACCCTTTTACCTCTTTCGCTCTCCAACCCTTTGCCCCCTCCTCTTATTCCAATTACCTCAACTCCGAAAAGAAAATGAAACCCCAAACACCCAAAAATGACAAAATAAAAACTATGACAAAATTTTTTAAACTCCTAATGAATCCTAAAATTCCTTTGACCTTTCTAATGCATTTTATTCATAAATTACAATTATTTTCATTGTAGTTATCATCATCATCATTTTTACATATAAAAGCAAAATATTAAGTATTAGCTATCTTCTATGATAATAGCCAATAAAAAAACTTGGTGTAGATTGCATTCCCTAGTTCAACAATAACAATTAATTTCACATACAATGTTATATTAAAGTTTCAAGAAGATAAAAGCACCAAGTTTGTTAATAAATGGTGTTACAATAGCACCAACTATAAAAATAATATGTAATATCTACAAAAGGAAGGATTTCAGGAAAAACTTTTGTGAGGAAAAAAAATACCATTTAAAGAATCCTAATTACCTACAAAGCACACTATCAATCACAAGTTCATCTACAATAATATTCCTAATCTTTCTAATTTCCTGAAGAATATACCTTAATTAATTTCAGAACTTTTAATTGCAACAAAAATTTCTTTTTCATACGTCAAAATTCAATCTGCAATGTAGGGTAGGAAATTGCAATTTATTTTCAATTAGCAATATTCCTTCTGAGGTAAAACACCTTTTCCCTTTCAAATGAAAAAAAAAAGTCAACTCCATTTTACACTTAAAAAACAATAACTTCTAACTCACACTGCATAAGGATTAATGAATAATTGTGATAAAAAAGATTTCCATTTTTATAATGAAGAATTCATTCATTTGGGTGAAAAAATTTACAACCCAAAGGTTTTCACAAAAATAGACTTACCACTCCCTCAACTTCAAAACACCATTGGTCCCCAAGGGAAGCTAATAATCCATTGATCAAAATAATACCAGTCAAAGAGTAATTAAAATTTTGAAAATACCAGAACTTTTCATATCTTTTTTCTCTCTTTTCAACGGGAGTATGGTGAAGAAAAAAATGGCTAATGCTTTTCATTTGAACTACTTGGACTTTTTTTCTTTAGCTATCTATTTAACCAGATGAATACAGTCTGAAGAGCTCTCAACTTCTTTTTTTTTTTTTTTGTTGTGTTTGATCCTAGTTTGTTGCCTTGTCATCTTTGTTATCTTATTTTCCAAATAAAAGTTTCTTTACGCTCCAAAAGAAGGAAAAAAAAAAGAAGAAAATTTGTTTAAGGAGAAGAAAAGGAGAAAAAACAAGAAAAATTTTAAAAAGAAAAAGTAATAGAATACTAGAAAAAAATTAGGTAAACCTTAGCCATTTACTGGGTAACAATTTCTTTTACTTTTATTTATCTTTTTTAATGTTAAGACAAATGGATGTCAACACTGCTACATTTTCAGGGGAACAGTGGGTGTTTTTCAAACTGTAGGGAGAGTGCATTTTCCATTGAATCTCAATGAAGGATGGAAATAATTTTCCTAACTCAGTTTCTCAACTAGCAAATTCAAATATTATGCTTAAAGTTTTAGACATCACAGTAAGACTTTAAAATGCACTATATATATATATATATACACACACACACACACACAAACAAAGCTCACGTACAATGTGATCAATCACATGCAACATGTGTACTCATAACTAGTATCAGAAGTGACCTAAACTTCCATGATCTGCATACAAAGTTGAAGCATCGCAGAAAAGCAAATAATTTTTGCAATAAAATAGATTTGGAACATACCTTTGAATCTTTAAGTGCTCCAAGCATCTATAAGCTATATTGATTGGTAGGAAGGGTGTATACCTCTCATGATAGAAATTGATCCCAATAACTTCTCCATCACGATTGATAAGAGGACCCCCAATGTAATACTAGCAAAAAAGCACCATCAGTCCTAGGATTTGCATGCAAATATATTTCTATTAACAATATCACATATACTAAGTTTATCGCTATAAATCAACAGAGCTTTTAGCTATCCAGCCTAGCTATTCTCATGGACTAGATATGCCCTGCTTTACAATTAATTAAAATTTTAAATCTAATCAAAACATTTTTCCATCGACTACAATTTCTAGAAAGCACATGATTAATTTTCATTGAACCTAGCTCCAAGAAAATTAAGAAGGCCAATTTTAACAAAAGTTTAAAAAAATTCAAATTTTTTGCCTTACTCAACTTCAATACCAATTGACTCAACTTCAATACCAATTGATGCCATGACACAAGATCTAAACACTGCATCTAACATGTATCATCCATAAATCGAGGAACAAATATTCCAACTTGAAAAGGAAACGAACAAGTTAATTGAAACATTTGGATCCCCAGTCCGTCTTAGGTTTTCCAGAAAGTCCTTGCTAATATATCCTCCACAGGACCAGTCCACAACAGCAACAAACCCAAATCAATTTGTTCTACTCAAAACCCTAATTAGAGAATTACCTAAAAGCTTTCATTCAAATGGAAGCCTAGAATCTATGTGCTAGTCACCATTTACACCAAAAACTCAAATAGCAATGAACAACACAAAAAACAGCATGACATATTTAAGTCAACAAGGCTCAATGCATAAACTAAATCAAAGCAACAAAAACTAGATTGAATTTAGATTAGAGAGAGAAAGTCAGCATAAAGGAACAAAACATTGCCAACATGAAATATCTTTGAGAACGATAAGGTAAAGGAAGAAAGGGACAAATGGCGAGGAGAGTGAGAGGTAAGTTACAATTTGCGTTGGAGTGACAAAATAAAGTTAGCAAAGAGTGACAAAACAAGGTAAACATCTTTTGCATTGGAGTGAAGGAATTAAGAAGAAAATAAATAAAGAAAATAAAGAAAACAAATGATGCCCATTTTGAAGGAATAGAATTTCTATTTTAGTTCAACCATCCAAACAAAGGATGGTGTTAGAAACAATCCAATTTAGTTCTTTCAGTAATGGAATACCTGGAAAACGCTATGTAAGAGAATTTTAAATAGCAGAAAAGATGATATTATTTGTGTAGGATAAAATTTTAATAGTTTTTTATTATCAAAGAACTAGAACCTACAAGAAGGAGCATCCTTCACTACTCTTACAAAACGCATGACCCTAAATAGAGTACACTAAAGCTAAATAACACATAAGAGAAAGTAGCAAAATAAGCTCATTCTTAGATCAATCAGCGATAATAACAAGGAGAGTATAAGAGTAACACTTCAACCAAACTTGTAATCATAATAAGCAATTATGTTTCTCTAGTCTAGTATGGTTTTTGTGACCTCAGCACAAGTGGTAAAACGAAAGTTAAAATTCGTAAAATATAGGTGCTAACTCTAGAACATGTAGATGTCACTCCTTAATTCACTAGGCATTAAGAATTGGAAAATGAATTGAAATTTATAGGTGTTTATGCATTTGGGCTTTTGGCATGAACAATCTAAAATATGAAATAAAATCCCAAATGAGATAAACACTTCATTTTATCCTTAATGATTATTTTACCTACCCACCACACAACTACCACTATATGACCAGACTAATCACACTATTTCACTACTAGCTTAACATAAGCATTGCACCTCATTGCTATAATCTGACCTTAATGCAAATTAGGTCTTTGTATTGTTTTCCTGTTTTATACATACAAGAAAGTCCAAAGGGAATTGGGGGATTCAAACTTTGGACCTTAAACCTCTTAAGGAGGAGTGACAAGTAACAACAACTAGGCCCAGTCTAGGTTGTTTGGTCTGAAACTGTTGATAACCTGTATAATTGAATATTATGGCTAAAATCATCTAAAGTCTGGAGAAAAGCTTTAAAAATCAAATAGGGGAAGATGGTGTTTCTGTCTCAAGCCTACTTACAAAGTTTAGGTGTAAGACAAGTAGATGAATAAGTGAAGCATTGAGCTTAGCTCATGAGAAGCTTAACAACAAAACATAACAAATTGCTCTTCTTTTCTTGAAATGAAAGTGGATTCATATAGTTTTTATATTCTTTTAGTATGAATTAAAATGCATATGACCAATTTGATTTCACAAAGTACTAGTATCTTTGTTCATACTTCATAGTATAAAATAAAAAATAAATGCCTATTTTATTAACAATGATATTCATGTCAATACGTTCCTCAAATATATCATCGATCAACTATTACTCACAAACACTTGAACAAAGTCCTGCAGCTTTCAAGACAATAAACTGTGTTTCAAATAAACAAGCTCTTTCAAAATTATTTGAGATCAACTCAACAAAACATTCACTACGAGATAAATTATTTGTAGCAGAAACTTCTCTTGCTAGTTGCCTAGTTCCCATTCAAACCATCACTCTAACACACTTTGGTTGTGTGGAGTTTGCAATTATTAAGTACCAAAATTTCCATGTCTATGGCATACTTATATTAACTTAGCTTGAATAGCCAAAGAGACAAATTCGTAAAATATGTTATTGGGTGTTAGAAGCCTAGGAGAAAAAAGAGGTAACAGGTCCCAAAAACTAGAGCACGCCAACAATATAACATATAAGAATTGATAAAGTAAATGTCATGTGTATATGAGAGAGAGAAGAATGTTCTTACTCGAGTAACCATCTTGCAAGTTGCCTTCAAAAGCTCTTTACAATCAAATTTACACAGGCCAATACTGGACAGAAAAGAAGAAAGGAAAACAATGAAAACAAGTATAAGTGACGAATAAGGGGCTAGTTCAGTGCTGTAGTAATAAGCAGTCAGATAGATTGACTTAATAAGACTTGGAAGAGTATAAATAGCAGCACAAAAGAAACTTCAAAATAGATGATAATTAACTGAATAATTTCAAAAGATTATAAATTGTAATGGTGACAATATGCATGCTAACTTTAATTCAACAAGAATGATATAAGTCTAACCTAGTGCACCCATCAAATATGATTTAAGCTTATTGGCCAATCTTTGTCATATATCTAGAATGAAAAGGCCACCAAATACAATGGCAAGAACAACAAAATTCGTAAAAGGCTAAAGCTAAGTTTGATTGAAAAGAATCGAAACAAGTTAAAAGAAAGGCCGACTTGGTTTCTAACATACGTGAAAGAGCCAGATGCAACCACAAGACTGTGTGAATGGTAATGGCGCCCCAAGGCCATGACCGTGTCCCCTGGACGAATTTTAAATGAATCTGAAGGACGAGGAGATGTTGAACCGAGCACCGGGTGCAGAGTAACAGGCTTGGATTCATCCAAATTTCTAAGGGATGGTGTTGGGAGTGGGGCATCAGATCGGATCTTTATAACAGATAGGTTGTAATGAAAATCATATGCAAAGACTTCACCCTGTAATAATTTCCCATCTAGTAAAAGAACATCAACCTGCAATCAAATACATGTAAAAGCATATTAACAAAGTAAGAAAGAAACATTTTGTTTTTTTTTTTTTTTTAAAAGCTAGGTTGCATAAACCTTGATATCAGGAGCGAGAGAAGCAGCGCCAGAGGGACATCTGAGAAGACTGGCAGAAGTTAGGATGATACCAACAAATGTACCATCACTCTCTTTGTCTCCACATTCTACAATAGTCCCCGAGCAAGCAAATAACTTATCCTTGCCTGTAGCATTCAGTTATTGCCTGTAGCATTCAGGTTCAAACTTTAACCCAAAAACAAGAGTTAAAAGAGCATACCCGTGTGAGACAGGAGACAGACAACAGATGGAGAAACTTTGAGGGCAACCATTTTGGAATGAAGATCCAATCCGGCATGCGAATCCCACACATCACCATCACGTTTATACTCTATTCAGTGAAAATCGACAAATAAAACAAAACAACAAATTTAACACTTACTAATCTAAGCCAACCGATGGAAGTATAATGGAGCAAACAACAATAAAAAAAAAAAAAGGGTCCAACCGTTATGTAGAAACCATTCGGCATTTGCTTTCTGAATCCAACCCATCGGAGGCGACACTCTTCCGCCACCACCTCCAAATCTCTTCAACCTTTTTTTTTGACGAATGGGTTTAAGTTTATTAGCCGGTCAGCAAATAATAATAATAATAATTAGGTTTATATAGTTAAATTTTAAAATTTAAGGTTGAGAAAAGTAAAACCTGATGAACAAAACTTACGTTAAGTTATTTAAATAAAATTTATGAAGTTTTTTAAAAATAATTTAATCAAAATTTTAATTAAAAAAATCTAAAAAGATTGATTAATAGAGTTTAATATAAAAATTAATAATATGTAAAAAATATTTAAAATATTATTTATAATTTAAATTTAATTAATACTTATTTAATGATAAAAATTTTATAATATTTTTACTAAAAATATCTATTTAATAAATACATCAAAATTTATTAAATTTTTTTCAAATTTTACATGCTTGATTTATGTGACAAAATCTTTCAATATATCAATTTTGAAATTTAATTTTAAATTTTTTATTTATTTCTAATAAAAAAAACTTTACAAACTTCACCTATAAAATTTTATTTAAGTTTTTTCTAAAATCTGTTATCATATAATGAAATTAAAAAATAAAATTTATAAAATTTTATAGAAAATTTAAATAATTTTGACTTTATGTAATACTTTTTTATTTTTACTTTATTATATGTTTATAAAACTATTTAAAAAATAATAATTAAAAATACTCCTCTTTAAAAAAAATAATGTAATTGATATTTTTTAAAATAGCTAAAAAGTATCACAAAAACAAAAATAATTCTAAAGAAATTAAAAAAATATTAAAATAAAAATTCTTTCAAAAAATTAATTTAAAACATTTATATTTTAAAATGAAAATAAAAAATTGTTAACATAATTTGATGAGAAAAATAATAAAATTTATATCAATTTATATAAAATAGGATAGAAGTCTTATGATACGTTAAAAACGAGTTATGAAAATTTTAAATATAATTAAATATAAAAAAAACATTAGAATAATTATTTTAATGTAAGTAATTAAATTAACAATGTAAAATTTAAATTAATTATTTTTTATAAATATATAAGAAAGATAGTTAAAAAATATTTTCAAGATTAAAAAATAATGTAAAAAATGATAATTTTAAAATAAAAATTATCAAAAATTTATTAATGTAAGTAGGTGAGAGGAATCGTAAAATTTATATTATTTAGTATAAAATATATTAAAAATGTCATAACATTTAAAAAAGAATTATCATAATTCTAAATATAGTGAAATGTAAGAACAATTGTAAAAAATATATTATTAAAATATAAATAATTAAGTTAGAAGATAGAATTTTAATTAATTATTATTCATATAAATATATCATATCAAATAAAAAAAATTATAAGTAACGTAAATAAATAAAAAGTGTCATAACATATTATGAAAAAACTATGATAATTCTAAACGTATTGAAAAGTAAAAAGAAAAAAGCAAAAGTATATTATTATAATGTAAATAATTATGACGAGAATGTAAAATTTTAATTAATTATTTATATATAAAAAATAGTTAAAAATTAAAAAATAAATTAGTACCGTAAACAAGTGTAAAGAAATGCAAAATTAGTATTATTTGTCATAAAATGAGTAAAAAAATATTGTAAAACATAAAAAAAGAATTATGATAATTTTAAATATAATAAAAAATAAGAACAATTGTAAAAAAGGTGGGTTAAATTTAAAAATAACTTATAAACTATACACTTTCAATTAGTTTGGTACTTAAAAAAATAAAATTGTTGGTTTTTTACTTTAACTTTCGTTCTATTATCGTGTTAGTATCTTGAACTAACATCGTTAGTTTGAAATGTTGATTTGACATAAACATCCAATAAGATATTAACAAATATTAAAAAATTTAGTTGGCATCATATCTTTATTGTCACGTCAGAATAAAAAAAAGTTTTTAAATAATTTAAAAATTCAAAAATTTTTAGAACTTTTAAAATTTTAAAAGATATAAAAAATTTTGAAAAGGTCTAAAAATTTTTTAAAATTTCTAAAATTTTTAAAATTTTTTGAAAAATTAAATAAATTCGAAAATCTAAAACATTCTAAAAATTCAAAAATTACAAAAATTAAAAATTATAATTATAAAATTAAAAAATATTTAAAAATTTTTGAAAAATTAAAAAATATATATAATTAAAATTGTAAGATCAAACAAATGAAAATTTTCATATTTTTTTAAAAATTCTTTACAATTTTTTAAATATATATATTTTTTTATTTTAAATATTTTAAAGTTTTTTTTTAATTTTATAATTTATTAAAATTTATTTTTATTAAAATTTTCATTTTTTAAAATTTTCATTTTTTATTTTTTTTAAATTTTAAGATTTTCTAAAATTTATTAAGTCTCCTTAATTTTTAGAACTTTTAGAAAAATTTTAAAGCCTTTTTTAGAATTTTTAGAATTTTTTCAAATTTTTAGAAATTTTGAAAAAGTTTTAAAATTTTTTAGAATTTTTAGAAATTTTATTTTAATACTGATATATCATTGATGATATAACACTGACTAATTTTTTTTAAACATGTCAGCATTTTATTACATGTTCATGCCATGTTAAGAATTTAAGTGATGACGTTAGTATTAGGTACTAAAAGTGAATGATGGAATGAAAATTGGAATATCAAACTGATAATTTTATTTCTTTAGATACCAAATTAACAGAAAAGTATATAGTTTAAGGGCCATTTTTATATTCAACCCTAAGAATATATTATTGTAATGTAAATAATTATGTTGGCAACATAAAATTTTAATTAATTATTATTTTGTACATATATAAGAAAAATAGTTAAAAATTAAAAAATAAATAAGTAACGTAAAAAAGCATGAAAAAAATGAGTATTATTTGGTATAAAATAGATAAAAAAAAAATGTTACAACACACGCTAAGAAATAGTTATTATAACTCTAAACATATTTAAAAATAAGAACAATCATAAAAAAACTATTGTAATATAAATAATTAAGTTGTCAACATAAAATTTTAATTAATTACTTTTTTAAACATATAAAAATAGTTAAAAATTAAAAACATATTGATAATGTAATTAAGTGAAAAAAAAAGTAAAATTAATATAGTTTAGTGCAAAATGCATATAAATTATCATAATATATTAAAAAGAGTTACGACAGTTTTAAACGAAATGAAAAGTAAAAACAACATAACAACATATTATTGTAACACAAATAATTATATTGATAATGTAAAATTTTAATTAATTATTGTTTTATAAATATCTAAAGAAAATAGCTAAAAATTAAAAAATAAATTAGTAACATAAACAAAAGAAAACAAACACAAAATTAATATCATTTGGCATAAAATTGATAAGAAGTATTGTAACACATTAATAAAGAATTATGACAATTTTAAACATAACATAAAGTAAAAACAACCTTAAGATATTATTGTAAAGTAAACAATTATGTTGACAAAATAAATTTTTAATTAATTATTGATCCTATAAATATATAAGAAAAATAACTAAAAAATAAAAAATAAATTGATAGTGTAAACAAATGAAAAATGTAAAATTAGTATCATTTGATGTTAAATGAGTAAAAAGTATCATAATACTCACTAAAAATAAACTATGATAATTCTAAACATAATAAAAAATAAGAGCAATTGAAAAAATATAGTATTATAACATAAATAATTATGAAGACAATGTAAAATTTTAATTAATTATTTTTTGTATATTTGAAGAAAATAGCTAAAAAATAAAAAATAAATTGGTAATGTAAATAAGTGAGAAGAAATGTAATATTAATATCATTTGGAGGAAACTGAGTAAGAAGTAATGTAACATATTAAGAAAAAATTATGACAATTTTAAATATAATGGAAAGTAAAAACAATAAAAAAAAGATATTATTATACCATAAATAATTATGTTGATAATTTAAAGTTTTAACTAATTATTATTATTTAAATATATAAGAAAAGTAACTAAAAATTGAAAAAAATAAATAACTTAAAAAAGTGAGAAAAAATAAAATTAGTATAATTTGATGTAAAATAGGTAAAAAGTGTCATAACACACTAAAAAAAGTTATTAAAATTCTAAACGTAACTAAAAGTAAGAATAATCATAAAAAGAAATTATTGTAATATAAATAATTAAATTACTAACATAAAATTTTAATTATTTATTTTTAAATATATAACAAAAATAGTTAAAAATTAAAAAACATATTAACAATGTAAACAAGTGAGAAAAAATATAAAATTAGTATCATTTGATATAAAATAAGTAAAAATTGTTATAATATACTAAAAAAGAGTTATGACGGTTTTAAACATAATAAAAATTACCAACAATCATAATAATATATTATTTATAGTAAATAATTATATTGTTAATTTAAAATTTTAATTAATTATTAGTTTAAAATATAAAAAATATCTAAAAATTAAAAAAATGGTAACTTAAGCAAGTAAGAACAAATTTTAAATTAATATCATTTGGTGTAAATTGGATAAAAAGTGTAGTAATACGTAAAAAAAAAAAGAGTTATGGCAATTTTAAATATTATGAAAAATAAAAACAATCCTAAGAATATATTACTGTAAAGTAAATAATTATGTTGATAATGTAAAATTTTAATTAATTATTGTTCTTATAAATATATAAGAAAAATGACTAAAATTAAAAATCAAATTAATAAAGTAAACAAGTGAGAAGTAGCCTAAAATTAGTATTATTTGAAGTAAAATGGGTAAGAAATATCGCAAAATACTAAAAACAAGTTATAACAATTCTAAACGTAAATAATTATTTTTATAACGTAAATAATTATAACGACAATATAAAATTTTAATTAATTATTGTTATGTATATATATAAGGGAAATAGCTAGAAATTAAAAAATAAATTGGCGTTAAATGAGTAAAATTAGTATCATTTGGCATAAAATGGGTAAGAAGTATTGTAACTCATTAATAAAGAATTATCACAATTCTAAATATAACATAAAGTAAAAACAACCTGAAGAAGATATTATTATAAAGTAAATAATTATGTTGATAAAAAAATTTAATGAATTATTGTTCTTGTAAATATATAAGAAAAATAACAAAAATTAAAATAAATTGATAATGTAAACAAATGAGAAATGTAAAATTAATATCATTTGGTG